ATATTAGTGAATGACAGGTTTAGGTAACTTGGTGATGAGAATGGTTTTTTGTGTTTCTTTAGTTTTTAGTAATTTATTCATTTTTAAATTTCTTAAAGAACTTGACTCTAAGCATAGACAGCACTCATTACACTGTTTAATAACTCAATAAATGCCTCATTACTATTAATAAACCCTAAGCCCTGACAAAGAGCTCCAAATGTGGCCTTGATAATGCACACCAAAAGTAAAAACAGGGACTCCATCCATTCGCAACATCGCACTGTTAGTACTCTGATATTTTTCAGCTGTTGATGGAATCAGCCTCTCTGAGAACTACCTCAGAGTTCGGGAAACCTGACTACCAGCCGACCTCAGAACCATAAAACTAATTTTTAGAGCTATATCCTTATTAGGAGATAGTAGAATGAATGACTAAGTTGTAAAAAGCAGAAACACAAGCAAATACCATGCATTGAGTCTAAAAGATCCAGCATTAAACATCCTAAACTCAAAACAATGTATTATAAATACATCTGCGCCAGCCTGATAGATAAAGAAGGAGTGCGAGGCTGGTAAACAAATTGAATCTATTTACCCCTTAAGTCTTTGCTTAGGAGGCTTTCTACAAGACAGTAGCTAGATGCATTTAACATCTGCTCAAGGTGATTTATTTTATCAAGACACTATCTCAAGCCTTTACTCAACAAAGAGCCGCAAGGCAGGAGGTATTTTAAATCGTAGTTGGCTTCTCCTAGCCTTTGTCTAAAAAAAGTGTATTCTACAAGGCAGCAGGACATGAAGCAGATTGTACTGGGTTACATGTTACCAGTAGCAGGATAAACTAACCTGACATGTAAATAGTCAGGGCAGGTTATCCTGTAGCAAGATAACCTGCTACAGGATAACCTGCAAATGATTGATTTCTTTTTTATGATTTAAGACAGCAAATAGATTTATCTTTTGTTCCATCAGATTCAATAGCACTAAGTAAATTGTTTACTTGTAATTTCTCATTTTATACTTTTTAGATGAAAAAAAAATACTTTGTGGTAATATAAGCTGTAAATATTTAGACAATTTAGAGACTACTGATTATTTGCACTTTTAAAAACATTTTTTAACTTCGAGCTAATTCCTGAAACCATCAGTAAAGATACGTTTAAATGACCCTGATAAATATTTCAACATTCTAATATTATAAATTATCTTTAGCACCTTTATTGTTTCCCTTGTTTGTTAAACGATATGCTTTTTTTTAGAAAAAAAATTAATTAGAAATAATTTTCTGTGTCAAGTCAAGCGTGTGATCATCATAATTGTCTTGCTACTCGCAACATGTAATCCAGTACAAACTATTCCATGTCATGCTGCTTTGTAGGATTGGCTTTTTATTAAAGGACTAGAAGAATTCTACTTACCGTTATTATCTGTCATATCTCTAGTAGTATCGTTTTTTGTCTAAAATTTTCTTAATCACTGTGTTAGCTCACCCGTTTTATATATGAATGTTTGCGCTTTGTGTAAGTAGGTTTTTTTATATTTGTGTTGTGTTTGAACCTTTGTTGATATATAAATATGTTTATGCTTTGTCTGAATCTCACGCGCAATTTTTACTCAACCGTATTTTGTTAAATGTATGTTTGTGCTCGACTTATATCTTTATCGTAGTGTTAGCACAGTTACTAACTATTGGCTACAAATGTATAACATATACTCACTTTATATTCCTGTGTTTCTTTAGATATAATGCATTTCGTAAATATTCCGTTTATTGTTTGAAGTTACAGAAGAAACTTCTTTTAACTACTCCAGGCCACGAGTTATTACAACTACTCTGCTACTAGTAATATGTTACCCAATGCTACCTGCCCCATGCCTTGCTATTTTTTAGGGTTTCCTTTTATAGACAAATACTAGAAGAAATAAACTCTGAGTTAAAATTTCCATGGCTTGAGGCTCTTGGTTGACTAAAGACTACAGATGGTGTCTTGATAAAAATTTTCCTCTATCTATGAATGAGTCAAATTCTCTTTAATTTTAACTATGCCCAAAGATTAACCCAAAATATTAAACATAAAAAACCATCACAACCACCTGACTATTTCAAAATGTTTTTTTGCAAAGACTCACTCAGGTTTTTATCGTCTGGCTATTCCTTTTGTGTTTCTACTATGCACCTCTTCAGGCTTACACATTTCTTTTTTTTGTTTCTAATTTGGCAGGAGTATCATTACATATAAAAATGTATCTTTTTGTATAAATATATTTTACGTTCATATGTATGACGAAAAGATTCTTAACAAAAAAATTACTATGATAGGAGAATGGGAACAAAAAACCCTAAAATCTTAGCTCTCCCCCTGCCCTAAATGTAGGGTTTCTTGATCCCATTCTCCTATCACGATAATTTAAAGAATCTTGTCGTCATACATATAAACGTTATAAAAATTTGGAATATTCTTTTTGTTTAAAAGTTGGTTATTTCAAACATTCAAAAACTTTCCTACGCCACTGAGTGTGTGGAATATTCTTTTTGTTTATATTTCAGGTCACCATGGATCAACTTGTAACTGAGATTGAAAGGTGAAGATAAGCTTATGCTTCTCTTGTTTTGAATTCTTTATCCGTCTTTTATATATGGGTTTTGTTGTGTTCATAGAGTGCGCTAAAAAACTTTTTTAAATTTACCTAAACGATGCGGACATTTATATTCTGAATAAAAAACTGCATTACAAAAACTTTGTTCCCAATTCAGTTGAAACTATTATTAGTGAATTTTAAAAAAATATTATCGCAATTTACCTCTGGTTATTTAATCAAAGAAACTTGAACCCAGTCTCAAACGTCGATGTTGTTTTAAAATGTTTTTCTCTGCTGCTGATCCAAATTGTAACAGAGAAAAGTCTTTTTTAAACTTCAAAAAGGTATTGAAAAAAAGGAAATTGCTACAATTCTAATAGTAGATAAAAAAAAATGCCTTTCAGAGCTAGCAAGAACCACACTTGTTAGTTTTTGGACAATGCAGTATTTTTAATTAGCAAAATATTAGCATGTAAAAAATTGTCTTGAAAAACGGATATTATTTTTTTTTTCGAAAATTAGAGGGTAGCCTGGACACATAGTTTAACCATAATTTTACCTCTTTTTATCCAGTGTGACACAAATTTAATGTATAATAATTTAGGAGTGAACTGTTCTCGACATATTTTTTTTAAAAAATTGCCTTTAAAAATTGCCTCTGATATATAAGGAATGAGAATGAGAATGTGATTATTTAAAAATATAAACATAAGCTTATAATGTAAATAAACACTTTAAAAACACTTTTTTTTCTGTTTTTTTTTTTTATTGGAATTAAATGAGTTTTTATTATAGGTTTGTGTATTATAGTATATTAAATGTAATAATATTTATATAAAATAGTTGTTTATTATTAATATGTAAACGAATTAAGTTGTCTGGAGCCACCCTTCAAACATATGTCCGATACCACCCGATCATACTTCATTCACAAATACTAGTTTTAAAACCAGTGAATTTAAGTTTTGAACGAATTTTTTTTAATATCTATTGTAAATAAAAATCTTTAATCATTAAAAAGTTATTCGTTTACATAAAAACTAGGTATATTAATATTTGAATCAAATAATGTTATTAAAGTATTAAAAATCACAAAGCTTCTTTAGTTTAAACTGTACATCAAGTGTCCGGAGTTACCCGTAGTCCGGGGCTACCTGACTATCCCCTATATGTATATATATAAAAAAATAGAGAAATAAGATTTTTTATTTATAAAAACATTTATTTTTAACAAATAAAATTACAATACATATTTCGACTATTTTTTAGTCATCTTCAGTTGGATTAAAAAAACTTATTTAATTTTATATAGGCAATAGCAAAAAAATATACAATAAAAAAGTTATTAAACTGTTTAACAAATGGTTAACGACTAATATAATGATAACTTTTATTTGAAAAGTGATTTTTTATAACGGTTTAACTGTTTTTTCATATCTGTATTTTTCCATTCAATGAACAAACTATCCTTAATCTTAAGCTCAAATTTATTGGAGGCCTGGAATCCAATATCGTCATTATTGTAATTATTAAAACACTTATTGTTAGCATGAAGATGTGTGTATATGTGTGAGTTTTTGTCTCTCCTGCAGTGTTCAATCATTCGTGTTTTAAGGTGGCGAGAAACCTAACTGAACTTACTTAACTGAGCAGAATTAAGTAAAAACGAGTTTTCTTAAGAGGTTCGTCGTTTTTTTTTTCCATCATAAGCAACAATTATAACTCTCAAAAAGCCTGTTAAACTTCAAAATAAAATTTATGCAAAGGGACTGTATTCAATATTTTTCAAGTAAGTGTTCCTAATTGGCCAGAAGCGGTTGTGTTACTTGATCCTTTCCATTGATTCAGATTTAGATAATGAAGAAGCTATTTCAAATTTTGCCGCTAGTCTGGAAAACGGTGTTGGAGCAGTATCTAAAATTTGGTATTAGATTTTTTATGAAAACAAAAAAAAAAAAAAAGTAAAAAAAATAAGTATTTTAATTCGTTTGCTATTTATTATTCAAACTTTGAATAATAATAAAAAGGAAACAAAATATTTGAATCGGAGTATGATAAGCCATGAAATTTTTTGGACCCAGACATCACAAAAACTCTGTGCGGGCTTTACAGTATTTTTACAAACTTGCAAAAGCAGTCAAATATCGCCATAATAAATCACAAGTACCTATGCAAGTTAATGTTAAAAAAAAAGAAAGTGATTTTGATAAGTAAACAAACGTTGCTATGGACGTTGTATTAGGCATAAAAACCATAACATTTTAGTGTATAGTTAAAAAGGGGTTTATTCGTACTATTTAAAAAGAAAATGTTACAAATATGTTCTTTATATTAACTATAAAGTTTGTTTTTTAATAACAAACTTAATAATTAATAACTTATTAAGAATTAATAAAAGCAAATTTAGGTTGAGAAATGGTTAAAAACTTATTATTACTGATGTTAGTTTTATTATTACTGATGTTTATTATGATTAAATTTTATTAGGACCGTTGTTTTCATTTTTATTTCCGCTGCTATTTGGTTATTGACCGGTAATTAAGAAAAAGTCAACATTATAATTATGCAAAATTAGGTAGAGGTAAAAATTTTAAATTTTTGATAAATTTTCAAGTTTCTAATAACTCTTTACAAAACATTTTACCTAGATGTTTTGCGGGTACTTTTTTTTCTCCTTTTGTCCCAAAATTGCTTCAAATGCAATTTTCATAATTTTAACAGCTATACTATCTTCTGCTTACCTTAAGCTAATAGTTGTGTTTATAGATTTAAAGTATAAATCCTAAAGATTTTGACATACATTCAACGATCTATGCCCTAATTGACTTGACAGAGTCTATTCCAAAAGTACTAGAATGAAATCAAGTTCGCTTGCGGTGTGTTTATTGAATTAAAATAAGTCTTTGACAGCACACACACACACACAATAAATATTAGTAAAAAATTTTTAACAACATTCTTAAAAGAAAAGAATAACTAAAGAACAATATTTAAGAATTTTTTTAATTAACAATTAAAAAGATAAACTTTTTAAAAAATTTTTACTTATATTTATTGCAATATTCATCTTCTTTTTTTTATTTTGTTTTTCAATCTTTAATTTTTTTTTCAATCTTTTTTTTATTCACTCTTTAAAAGTATTTTTCATTTTTTTTTTTTTTCCATTACTTTTTTCTCTACTTGTAAATACTTTTGCTAACTGTTATTTATTTTATTTGCCTGTTTTTAGTTTCCAATTTAATTTATTTTTAAACTTTAGCTTTTTTTAAATATGTGTTTTTGTGATTTTTAGGATATTTTAATTTTTTTTTTATACTTTCTACTTTGCAAGAGTTTCTTGTATTATTTACTTATTTATTTCTTGTATTTATTTATTTATTAATTTCTGGTAGTATACCAGTGGTATAGATATTGTTGTAATTTGTAAGTTTATTTTTTCCTTTACTTGATTTTTTCTAAGTTCCTTTTAACTAGGATTTTTGTTTACATTTTGTCATTATTTGTTATTCTTTTTATTTAACATTCATTTGATTAATTTATAACTATTGATATATATATATATATATATATATATATATATATATATATATATATATATATATATATATATATATATATATATATATATATATATATATATATATATACATATTGATATTATCAACATATTACTTGTATAGTTTTAATTATGATTATTAAATTTTTATTAACCATTATTATTTTCTTTACAACAACTGTCAGTTTTTCATGTTTATAATTAAGAGTGTCTTGGATAACATTTTTTTATTATCCAAACAGATACTAAATACCTGGAAATTTAAAAAATATCCAGCTGGATAATGTAATTCTAATATAAGTATATATTTTATTATTACTGTAATAAACCTTCAAAATGGTGAGTTTTGACTCCACTGCATTATCGCACAAAAAAATTTCATTGTAAATTGCATGAAGAGGAGAAAAAAAATTAATATCGAATCTTCTTCAGCTGCATGAGGAAGTTCAAAATGTATTGAATTATGATCAAGTCTCCTTTGTAAATGTTGCTCAGGGAATTAATGTTTTCTTTAATCACTTGATTATAGAAAAAAGTAATGGCATTTTAAAATTTTGGAAACATGAAGAAAAGTTTCATCCTCAGTATGTGCGGAACATTATTTTCATTATGAGAAAAAGCGATCAAGGTGTAAAGAATAACCAAATTATGTTGGCTCAAATAGCTATAATTATACTGGTCTATAACAAAATAACAACATACATAAAGTATTATAGTATAGTACAAAACGTATATGTATATATAAATATATCATATTAACATAACATTCACCCTCTTCTTAAAAGTGTTCAGGTGTATTTATAAGTTAAGTTTTTCTGGTGCTTTAGATATTCGTGAAGATCTACAAGGAGGAATGTTGATTTGCTATATAGAATTCATTTTGTTTTCTTGTTCTTTTTCGGAGATTAAAGGAGTTTCATTGCTACCATTAGGGATTAAGGGATAGTTATTGATGGCTGTTACTTCTAAATTGTTGTTTAGTGTTTGTACTATAGGATTTGTTGCAATAGGAGCCAGCTGTTTAGTCGACACTATAGTCTCAAGACCACTAGGAAATCTCACATAAGCATAATGAGGATTTGCTTCAATGAGCTGAACCTGATTTACTGAATCTTCATAATTACTTTGCATTGCATTTCTTTTCATAAGTACAGGTTCTGGGTTAACAAGCGATGAAGGAATTGAGGACTCAGATGATGATCTTCTTTGAAAATTGAAAAGACATTCATGTGGACTACAGTTAGTAAAAGTATATAATAGAGATCTTGTAGCATGAAGTGCATCAAGTAAAACTCTTTTCCATGATGATATAGGTGGATTTCGAGATTTTAAAGTGAGTAATATTGACTTCCAAATAATTCCATTGTATCTTTCAACTTCCCCATTTCCAGTTGGGTTGTAAGGGGTTGTTCTGCTAGTTGTGATCCCTTTTGATAAGAACCAGTGCTTTAATTCAGAAGACATTAATGAGGATCCACGATCATAATGAACATAGCTAGGTATAAAAAACATTGAAAAAAGGTCAGCTAAACAGTTTATTATTGTCGGAGTTGTCATATCTTTTACAAAATAAGCAAAGGGAATACGTGTATACAAAGGGAATACAATTGTTATTAACACCAGGATGGCAAAGTGCAGCATGCAAATCATATAATGATTCTGAACTTATTGCTGCACATCTAATATGAGTAAATGTATCTGGTCCACTATTACATTGGCCAGGACAATAATGGATATCATAAGAATATGGAGACAAGGCTATTCTCCAATGCATTAATTATCATTCTTTATTTTACTGCTTGATTTATAATCATACATAAATGCCATGGATCGTTGTTCAGTGATGAGAATGAAATGTCGACCCAAAAGAAAATGACGATAATGATTTATGGCTTCGACTATTGCTTGAGCTTCTTTTTCCACTGATAAATAGTATTGTTCATTTCCTTGAAGTGTTTGTGATTAGAAGGCAACATGTCTTCTATCCTGATTAAGTGTGGTGGATATGGCAAAGTCAGAAGCATCAGTCTCCACAGTAAAAGGTATATTCTCATCAATGGTTTGCATGGAAGATTGAACAAGCTCATTTTTTAATGTTTTAAATGCTGATATTTGCTGCTGATTGTGTGGGAATTGAGTAACTGAGTTCAAAGGTCTAATTTTATCTGAAAACTTTCTATCCATTTTGTATAGTACTAAAACATTCCAACAATACGCTGTGAAGACTTTGCATTATCAGGTGGGGGTAACTTAATGAGAGGAGCAAGTCTCTGAAGATTTGGTTTTAAGGAGCCATAAGATATACGATAATCTAAAAAGTCTAAAGTCTCAGTTGAAAATACAAACTTCTCTTCATTAAATGTAATTCCAGCATTAATGGCAGCTAATCTGAACTTATGTAGATTTTCATTATGTTCTTTCTGACTATTACCACATATTGTAATGTTATCAATTAAAGGAAAGCTGTCAATTAGTTTATATGTTCTAACAAAGTCATCTATTTTGCATTGAAAACGTGCGATCCATAGGTAACTCCAAATGGCACTCTAGTATATTGCCACAACTTATTGTCAGCTTCAAAAGCAGTATATGGTCGATTTTTTTTTGATAAAGGTATTTGGTAGTATGCTGAGCAGAAGTCGAGAGTACTATAAATTTTGTATTTGGAAATTATACCTACAATAGTTTCAATCTTAGGTAAAGGATATGTGTCCAATTAGGTATATTTATTAATAGTTTCAGAATGATTAACAACCATACAACGTTTAGTCTTCTCATTTACTACTAAGACCTGGGAACGCCAAGGTACCAGACAGCAGATTTCAGATTTAATAAATTCTCTATCTCTTTTAGAATAATTTTTAGATAAAGTGGCAATTGGTCGACAATCTTTCATGAGATTAGCAAACAATTCAGGTGGTTCAGCTTTAATTGTTGTTAAAGCTGCGAGTGTTATGGGTGGTCTTTTTCCACCATACTTAATGGTAATACTTTCATGCAACTTGAAAATATGTGCCAAGAATTATATAATCATATATTATAATTATAGATTTTGTTTTGAAGAGTTATTGAAACATAACAATATCCATCTGATTTTGCTGATAAAGAAAATGATGCCATTCCGATTACACTCTGTTCATAAATAACATTTAAATTGAGTAGAGCCACTAGTTTGTTGTTAGTAAAACTATTGTTTGTACTCCCACTATTAATTAAAGCTTCTGCTTTATACTTATAATTAACAATGATGTTAAGACAGACTCTGAAGAGAGAGTTTGCTGAAGCTGATATGGTGGCACAGAAGTAATTATCATCTATTTTAAGAATAGCAGCAGAAGCATTAGATGATGCAAAGCTTTTCAAAATGACCAATCTTTTTACATTTGTGATAGATAGCTTAATGAGCAGGACAATTAGTACGTGGATGTCTTATGTTTCCACAAAACCAGCACAATTGTTTTGATTTAACTGTAGCAGCTAAGTGATTATCAATCATGGATTGCTTTTGTAAAGATGATTTAATTTACTGAATAGAGGCAGAGATAGTGCAGTTGATTGTGAGCACAAGTTCGAATTTTGTTGAGCCACTAAAAGATCTATCTAATGATCTAGCTTGGTCAAAGGCCTAATGTCTTGTTCTCTAGTAAACATTGAGGTATATTGTTGGAGAGTAAGTTTATAAATGCATCGCAAATCATTTCAGATTTATATAGCTTAGCACTTACAGCAGTGAACTTACAATCCTTAGGTAGATTTTTAAGTTCATTTAGAAATTGATTTATTGGTTCACTTGGTTTTTGCTTCCGTGTTAACAAAATGTATCTGGCAAATATTTCATTCTTTGGTTTTATGTAGATAGACTCGAGAATACTTGTTGCTTGTTCAAAATCATAACACTCAGATATGAATTCATAGACATTAGGTCAATATGGTTTATTAGGAGATTAAGCTTAATGGAGTTATCATCAACTGAACTTACAAAAGTGTAAAATGTTCTTAACCAATGGTTGTATATTTTTGCTACATCTGTTGAGTTCGGATCTATACCAAATCAGGTTTCATGAATCGATCCATCTTTCTTTTATTTCAAAATTGTGCATATATAATTTTAGTAGTATTTTAATAATAATAAAAATAATAATAATAACAATATCAAATAGTAACATTAGATTATTAAAAGTATAACATTTCTAGATTTATTTCAGTTTTCAAATGACATTAACATCCGGTATATAAAAAACCGGATAAAGTTATTATCCAGCTAGATATTGGATACCAAATATAACTCCTATCCGGCCTGGATATCCAACTGGATAGCTTTTCCGGGACACCACTATTTAAACAATTTAATCTTTGTTTTGAACTTTTCTATGTATATATTATTTTTGTTTTATAATCTATTATTGATTTATTTTAATTAAAATTTATTTTTGTTAATAAAAAAACAAATAGAAGAGTCAAAGAAATTTTTTTTCAATCAGATGCCTTTGTTAATATATAATACATAAGAAAATGCCATTATGGAAACCCATCCAAACTTCCACAAGTGTGAAAACATAAATGTTAAACATGAAAAAACATGGGTCATGAAGTTAAGTAAAATAACAAAAAAAAAAGTTCAAAAATTAATAACCAGTTTATAAAAAAATAATTTTTTTAAAATTTACTTAAAAATAATTTTTTTTTTAACTGAAATTAAAAAGGTGCATTATAGTTTTTTTCAATAATAATTTTAGCTTTGTGTTGTCTTTAACTTGAGATTATATGATTAGGATTGAATCTTTTGACTATTGTTTTATGTGGCTCCATTTAGTCCTCTTTAATCGCCTTTCCCTTTCTTCTTTATTGTTCCCAAGACTGTATCCTTTTAGATCTTATTTCTGATCAAATTGACCAAGCCATTTCTTTTTATACTTCAGCCAATATTATTGTTATTGGTAACTTTAATGCTTATCGTACTGAATGGCTCTATTACCATCGGTCCTTCATTAAAGCTCAAAACTTACATTTTCCTAATCTCTAATTAAAATATTGAGTTTTGTGACTTATTTCCCAGATAATCCTTATTACTTACTTGATTTGCTTTTTTTCTCTGACCCTAATTTGTGTTAATTTTTTTTTTTTTTTGTTTTAATTTGGTTAGTTCAAATCATGCTATGGTCTCACTAAAACTATTATTTTTTATTTTTTTTCCTCAGACTCTATCATTGCCCTTCTTACTACTACCTTAAGGCTGAATATTACTCCTTAAGGCTGAATATTACTCCTTTTTGTGATATTCTTAATGGCCTATGTGTTAATGTCTATTATCTCTTTCCAGAATTTTAGAATGAGATTAAAAATAAAGTTGTATAACTTTTTATTTGTACAAAGTTAAGAAAAAATTGTTTGAGAATCATTCTAATCATTTAATTTTTCTACTTATTAACAAATGAAAAGTTAAAAGTTACTAACACCGAAAAAATGATTTTAAAAAATCAAATTGATATGTTATGTTGAGGTCTTACTCAAAGTCGAGGTTTTTCAAAATTTTTTGAATTTTTTTTTTCATTTTAAGATTTAAACAAACAAATTTTAAATTTTGATAAAAAGAGTTAAAGTCAGTAAGTAGTTGCTCAGAACTGAAGTAATGTCGTACACTGAAATAATATAGTTATTCATGACTTCATGGCTCAGTAATTTCATTGATCATGATGCTAAGCTTAATAGTTCAGTTGTTGTCAAGGTGGTAAAAAAAATTTGTTTATAATTTCATTATTTGGCTATATTTCACTCTTTGTATGTCACCATTTCACTAAAAAAAAAAAAATATTTTTTTATTTATAGTATTATAGTTTTGTAATAACCAAGTTGATGTAAAAGCTCAGTTTTTTTTTATTTATAGGATCAGTATAACTGAATGGGTTGCAAAAAGTCTAAAGAAATTGAAACATCAAAGGAGCAAGTTTTTAGCTGGGATCGTGCAGATAGACCAGATCCTAAAGATTTTACTATTGCTAACATAAATGATTCTGTCTGTGGGCGCTTGCCTGGTACCGTTAATGGTCAGCAATTCGTTATTCAAAAGTGTACCAACAGCTCTATATATATTTTTGACTTCTCAGCAATGGTTACAATAGATGATTGCGAAAACTGTAAATTTTTTATTGGTCCTGTTAAGGGAAGTATATTTCTGCGCAATTGTAAAAACTGTCAGTGCATTATAGCTTGTCAGCAATATCGTGCAAGAGATTGCAGAAAGATTGATGCTTTTTTATTGTGTGCTAGCCAACCTATCATTGAATCATGTAGTTCTATGCGCTTTGGATGTTTTTCTTTTTTTTACCCTGAGCTTCAAGTTCAATTCAAAAATGCCGGTTTAAGTGTTTTTAATAATAACTGGAGTTCAGTTTATGACTTTACACCTGTTCAAGATGGTAATTGTAATTGGAGCTTCTTGCCAGAAAATTTATCAGTTGAAACCCTTGTTCCGAAACCAAATAATGAAGCTTTTTCAAATATAGATATTCGAACTGATCATAAATTGAGTATTGTGCCTTTTTCTAGAGGAAAGCTTGATAAAAGGTATGACGACTCCTGCCTACTTGTTTTTTTTGCTAAAGTAAAAAATGATTGTAAACTTTTACTTGAAAATCTTCATCAAAAAGCCTCATTTGATTTGATACAATCTAAAGAAATCAAAATCAACCCAGATGATGCTTCTAGAATATTTAGGGATGAAAAATATTGCAAACTAGTTGATCAAGGTCCCCTAATAGGTTTAGAGTTGAATGGTGATAATATTATTCAACAAGTTGAATCTGTTTTAAAAAGAATGTCTATCAGTCTCAATGATGTTTATTTGACAACAGATCAGAGATTCGCTAAAAAGGATATTGATGCATTTTATAATTTTGTTGACATGACAATGACTTAAAAATATCTAAAGTAATGAGGTTTCTATAAAAACAATTTTAAATAAAAAGTATTTATTTTAGGAAATTTAAGAAATTAAAATATTGTAAAGGTTTTTAATTTATACATTTAATAATATATTAATAAAAGAAATTATTAGTAAGTCTTGTTTTATATTTTTCATAAGCAAATTTTTAAGAACTGGTTGTCTTCTCAAAGTTTGTACATTTAACTAAAGATTTTAATTTTCATCAAAAAATCTGTGAGTATCTAATAAAATTTCAAACTTTTGTTTTGGTGATAAACTTGCTCACAAAACAACAATCAAAACTATTTGAAGTTTTTTAAATGACACTTTCAAATCTTTAATGTCTCTGCATAGTTTTTTTTTTTTTTTTCTTTTCAATTTTTCGTCTGATAATTACCCAGTACTTTGCAATAATTTTTAATACTGGGCAATTTGGAGTATTTGTTATTTTGGACAACTTTCAATTCATTTTTTTTAACGATTTCATAGCCAGTTTGCTATAATGACACCGATTTATTATCACAATTGATGATAAATCGGGCTAAGACACACGTCTACTATCATGTGATTTAGTAGGTGGTAAACGACGTTTTTATTAACACTTTTTTATTAACATAACGTTTTTGGTAAAATTTTTACCAAAAAATGTGAACTCAAAAATATAGGATGCTGATTTTTTGTCATACCTGCAAATAGTTTGCCAAATCAAAGCTTTTTTTAGCAAACTAAAATCCTGTATTAAAATTTTCTTATCTGCTTTTCCTCTACATTTGGAATCATAATAGACAGCACCAGGAATTTGCTGATGATCATACTTCATAAAAGTTTCATCATCTTCAATAATTCAGAAATTTTCAGAAATATAGTTGTCATTCAACTTTCTTCTGTGCGTTCTTTTTTTTTTTGATTTGAAAAACTTTTTTTGATTTGAAAGCTTGAAAAACATGTTTATATCCCAACTTTTACAACAAAACAATGAGAAAATTTTTATATTTTTGTGCGTTCCAGTCGTGAGAGGTTTGGATTATTCATAAAACTGTGAACCAGTTTTCTAACTAGTTTTAAATCTTGAAAAACCTCTTTTCCTATATTACCAGATTGGCGTTTGATTGATTTTGTTTAGCAAAAAATTTAAGTATATTATTAAAAAAAAATTTGAAGCAAAAAAACATTACCTGGTGTGATTTTTTAATTGAAGTTTATTCAATTTATCTAAAGAAAAGAAACATTTCTTAACCTCAGTCTTTCCGATAGAAACAACAAGTTCCTTTGTACCAAATGTTTTCATAGTTTTCAAAGTGTTTCCCAGTGGGCATGTGACGTAAAAAAGACGTCTTTTAAACGTCTTTTAAATGTTTTGGACGTCTTTCGAACGTCTTTTAAACATCCTTTTTAGATCCTGTGCCCTCTAGTTCCCTGATTCATTCGTGCTCAAACCTTTGGGCAGAACTTTTCTTTGCGTTGTAGGGAATGTTCGCTAACTTCGTCCAGTAATGTGGAATTCCTTGTGACACTTGAGCATAGCCATCTAGACAAATAAGTCTCTTAGCAGGTTTATTTGAAACTTCTTCGGCGTTATTATTATTATTATTATTATTATTAAGGTTTACAAATTGGATTTGTATAGGCATGAAATGCCTGTCAACCTGTCTTATGATTACTATATAAATATACTAGTCATAAATTGTTTTTTCTTCTTTTAGATAATTGTCGAGTTTGTTTTTAAAATTGCTTACGGAAGTAGCATTTACAACGTCATCTGGGAGGGAGTTCCATTTGTTGATTACTCGTAAGGTGAAAAAGTATTGACGAGAAGCTAGACGAGAATAAGGTTTTTCTAGTTTAAATGAATGTCCTCTTGTAATAGAATTTATAATTGTTTTTGGAAAGATCGTTTGACAGTTGTAGTAGTTGTTTAGCCATTTATAGACGTTTATTAAATCAGCCCGGATTAGTCTGTATCTTATGGTTGTCATATTAAGTTTCAATAGTCTTTGGTGATATGTTAGACTTTTTAATCCATGAACTGATTTAGATGCTCTTCTGAGTATATTTTCAACTTGTCGTTTGTCTTTCAGTAGACGAGGGTTATATACAGAACCACAATATTCTAAATATGGTCGTACTAGTGCTGAAAACAGTCTTTTAAAACAAAATGAATTTAGATAAGAGAAAGATCTTTTTATTAGAAATAGCATCTGCATTGCCCTATTAACTTGAGTAGAGGTATGTTTAGAAAATAGCAAGTTATTATCGATATGTACTCCGAGGTCAGTTTCTGAGTTGGTAGATTTGATATTAATCCTTGTTTTCTTCACTGGATCGTACATAGAATAGACAAGATGTTTATTTTTATGACCTAGGTGTAAAACTGAACATTTTTCTATATTAAATTTCATCCCCCATTTAGTTGCCCAGTCAACCAAGATATCAATATCATTTTGAAGTACGGTGTGTGAATGCAAATTAGTAATAGGGTAAAATATTTTTGTATCGTCAGCAAAAAGTGCTGCATTTGAAGTAATTATATTGGGAATATCGTTAACGTATATAATGAATAATAGAGCTGAGAGAACAGAACCTTGGGGAACTCCACTTTTTACTGATACCCAATCAGAGTAATTACCATTTATCATTACTCTTTGTCTTCGATTTGTGAGAAAGTTTCTTATCCAAGAGAGAATTGGACCATTAATCCCATAGGCTTTTAGTTTCAAAAGAAGATAGTCGTGTGGGACTTTGTCAAATGCTTTTTCAAAGTCAAGGTAAATATTATCGACGGGAAGACCTTTATCTAAATTAAGTGTCCATGTATTGATTACAGTAAGAAGATTTGTTTCACAAGAGCGCCCTGGATAAAAACCGTGTTGACTAGGAGTTAGTAGATTATTTTTTAAAAGATGAATAAAAATATGTTTTTTGTATTATTTTTTCAAATATTTTGACTATAGTGCATGTTAAACTAATGGGTCTATAGTTGGTAACTAGTTTCTTGTCTCCTTTTTTGAAAATTGGAATGATATTTGCATCTTTCCAGATTTGTGGTAATGTACTAGTTTGAAGTACCTTAGTATAAATAATAGAAAGATGTTTAGAGATTTGGTGATGGGTTTCTTTTAATATTTTGGGATGTATCTCATCTGGACCCGGTGATTTAAATGACTTTATAGACAGAAGATGAGATGCAATGTTTTCAGGAGATAGATCAAGATTATTAGAGATTTGACTGGGACAAATAGAAGATAAGTTAAAACTTGGAACAATCAATGTATCATTATCAGAAAAATTACTAGCAAAGTAATTATTGAAGCATTGAGCCTTTTCAAGATCGGTGGTAGCAACTATCTTATTGTGGAATATTTCAGGAATGAGATTTTTTATAAGATTTTTTGATTTTATGTATGAAAAAAAAGCTTTAGGATTTTTGCTGAAAACATGATATTGCAAGCATGACATTGCATTGATATAACAAACACTCCAAAATTTTCTTGATCTGAACCATCAGCGACGGATCCAGGTAAGGAGGGGGGGGGGGATTGTGCATCCACCTTCACCAGAATCTGAAAGTCCTAAAAATTTCATTGCAATCAGAGTTGTTAGTCTTTAGTCTTGACCTGGCTTTAAAGCCAAAAATTAAGGATTTGGCCTTGAAACATTTGGCTTTGACCTTGATTGTTTTGGCCTTTATAATAAAATACATAAAAATAAAAAAATCAAAGTTTTTATTCTTTATTTTACATAATTAATAACGTAAATAATCATTCCTTGTTTTACGCAATTACTTTACCTAAGGCAAAATTACAAGTCTTTGGCCTTAAACATGATTGCGCAGGTGTTGGCCTTGAAATTCTTATTCTTGGCCTTGTTATCAACTCTGATAGAATTTGAGAACTATTTTTTTTAAGGAGACGAAAATATGGTACGAAAATATTACAACATTTCCCCACATTCCACCAAAAATGTCTGAATCCATCACTGGGAACCATAAAGTTTTTTTTACATTAATCAGTAATAAAATTAAAGGCTAATTAAAGCGAAATTTAAAAATAACAATCATAAACTTTAAAACGATACTCTTACAAAAACTTACAAATACAGTTGATTGATTTTATTGATTAGAAAACTGAAAATCGCGAAAACGTGATAATTATTCAAGTTTTTTGCACAATACATTCGTAGAATTTCATTTTACCCGCGCAATTTAAGTTTCGAATAAACCATTAAAATTGACACTGTAAAAGCTAGGAGATAAAACTAGCTAGAGAATGAACGAAGCCAAAAATTGTTTAAAATTGTGGCACAGTCTTAGTACACCGTAGCACAGTCTTAGTATTCAATATAGTTAAGGTGAATTAGTAAAACTTTATTCGAAATTAATTTTTTTTTTATTTTTCTTTGATACAACTCGTGTATCAAACAGAATGTTTGATTCACAGTTGGATACGTTTTGCTCAGTCAGTTTACTTTAAATTGTTTTTAAATAAAAACGTCCTTAATTTGGACATAATTATCTATCCAAAGCTGGTCTTTGAGGATGACTTTAATAAAGCGGTTCAAAAGAAATGATTTAATGATCTCAAAAGCTATTTGACTCATAATAGAAACTTGTAGACCAATTTTGGATAAGAAAATAGATTTTAGAATATCGCTGTGAAAAATTTGGTGAGGAATGAAACTAGCAACATAGAAAACCCTTGATTAAAAAAACTTAGGATATGAGTATAAAAATAATAAATAGTAATTAATTATAAAAATAAAATAAAAATATTACCATGGAAACAAAAAAATACATGAAGTTAGTTAAACTATAAACTTTATACAAGATAAATATTTTTTTTTATAATAAAAATTCAAATAAATAGAATTAAAATAATCAAATATTATTATATTATATATTATTATGCAAAATTTCAATAAATATATATTTCAAATATGCATTTGATTCTGTCTCTCATAAAGCAAATTTATCAAAACTATCTTTTAAAATATCAAAATGATCTTGTGTTGAAATCTGAACATCAACTAATTTCTGTTCTTTAAAATCTTTAAACATCTTCCTTGATAAAAGATGAGTTAAGGAACAATGAATAAGCATTTCTTTCAAATGAGATGCATGTGTCCATTCTTGACCAAAAGAGAAAACTAACTCAAATGAAGGAGCCATATTTATTTGTGAGGATTTATAAGCTTTAAATTGATGCAAAAAGTCATCTTCAAAACTCCATATAAGAGTTTTTTCTGATCTGACAAGACCTTTAGGTTCAGACATAGGACTTTTTGCATAAAAAACCTTTGCTTGACTAAGTCTTTTTGCGTAAATGTCTCCTCTTTGATCTACCATAATTAACAAACCTCTTTGAATCCATTCAAGCAAATTTTGTGTATTTTTATCATGCCCATGAGGATAATAAATCTGTTCAGCATTTAAATTTCCATAAATTTCTGACAAAACACTTTCCGCTTCTGCCTCTCTACCCATATCAATAGGTACTGGAGGGGGGGCTTTATAAGCAATTCGTACACCATTACTGTTGTTCACAACTTTTGTTAAAACTTCTCGGTCAGCAAAATACAATGTTATTGATATAGCTAAAGAGAAAAAGAAATATTATGATAAAAAAAAGAAGCTATAACCTCTACCCAGCCAGCACAAACACGTGTTTTAAAATTTTTAACTCGATTTAGATGAATAAATTCCGATAACTATAAGACATCTAATAGCAGTTATCTTTGAGAAAACAAATATGACGAATGAATGATCATTGATATCAAATGAATGAATAATTTATGTTTGACATGATGAATATGAGTTCATATTTGTCGTCTCAAAAATGAAAACACATTTTAGTTAAATAAAAAGCCATTAAAAAAAAATATATGTACTTGGTGTAGGTAAGCCAATTTTAAAATATTATAGTGTCTGTATGATATTCTGTTAACTACAACATTTTCCAGTTAAATAATCAGGTCTGTGAATTATAAAAAGACAAAAAAAAAAGAAAGCGTAATGATAAATTTTGCGGTATCATAAAATATAAATGTTTAAAGTGAAAAAACCAAAACCAAAGATTCTTTTTTTAAAAAAAAATCTTCTTAAAATCACAATCGCTTGTCTAAAGTTTAATAAGATTTTAAGTAAATACGTTTTTTTAGGTGAAATAAACATTATAATTTAACAATATCTGTTCTGATTGTTTATTGACAATTTTTCTTAATTATAAGCTCTTTCTTGGTCAGAATTCTAGTATTTTTTGTGAAAATTGATCAAAATATCGTGTTTTGACACCTATTTATAGTTAATATTCATCAGAATTGATTAGAACTAGGATCAGAAATAAATTAAGGAACTTTTTGAAAAGATTTAAACTTAATTCATGTTAACGCTGATGAGCAAAATTAAAATGGTGTTCTTTAGATTCACTATTACGGGCAGTATCGAGGTTTAGAAAATTATATATATAAAAAAGAAAAGTTTCTTTAAATATTAAAAAAATCTGATACAAAAAAAAATATATATATCACTTAAAATTCTTGTTTGGGCATAATACGCTGATAAAAACGCCTAATTCCAAATAAAAGAATTTGAATAATCGGTAAATCGGCTTAACTACACCAAGTACAATAACAAATTATCATAAAACTTAACAACCAACAAGTATTGATCATAAACTTAATCAACAAGTATTGTCATGGTTACTGTTTAATAAAATCAACAGTGTTGATCCTGGTTTAATAAAAGCTTCTTAGTACTTGTTAAAAATTTCTGCTAAAAAGTTCATACATATTTAAGTAAATCCTATTACTTCTTTAATTAAAAAAAAAATACTAACCAGTATTTACAACCTCTCCAACCATTTTCTCAAGAATGCTCTAAAATAGATACAATGAAATTAAGAAGCAGTATAAATGCTAAATGTTTAACTAGTTAAATAAATGTGAAATAAAGATATATTTTAGAAACTTATTAAAAAATTATGGAAATCTATCAAAAATATTTTTTTCAGAAAAGTTTTTAATTTTTAAATACAGCAATAATTTTCATTTCAATGATCATAACTTCCTTATTATTTTAATTATTTTTTTAAATTAAAATTAAGCAGAAGGTTCATTTAAAGAAAAATAAAAAAAATTTAATGAAAATCAAATTAATCCAGAGGAAAACATGGTAAGTTAACTTTTATTTTTGCAGGTTTTCTGCTTATTTAAAGGAGTTTTCTATTAAACTGCTTTAAAATTAAATAGTAACTGAGTGATCCTCTTTTTTTATTAAGAAGAATTTTTCTTTTGTATAGGATGTTACAGTGTAAAAAAGAGTTCTTTATGGTCATGAGGCTAAGTAGAGTTCACTCAACTGAAAAAAAAAAAAAAAAAAAACAGATTGTAGTTTTAGAAATCTTTCTTTTGTCAAAGCTGCGATTGACTAAAGATAATATGGAAGATTTAAAAATTAAAGAAAAAGAGATCAACAGTTTTTCATATTAACTTGCTTTAAAAATATAAGTGTTTAAACTTTCTACAAATAATGAAACTCATTTCACCAGGAAGACTTCTTGACAGGATCATTTGACCATCACTATATGAAGCAACAATGAAAGCTAATTTTAAGCAAAAAAATGTTGTTATTTTAATTAATAAAACCTGATGAGATGAAATATTTTTAGCAGTCCTTAATGGACACTGGCCAAGTTCGTTTAACTTTACTAATTGAAGTTAAACAAAATCGAATAGCAAATATTCATAAAACTTCGGTACCAAAGTTTAACAAACTACTATTTGGTATTCGTTTAATGTAAAACTTTTTGTGGGTGCTTAGTGCTAAAATAAAAACTAAACAAAAATTGGCCAAATCAAATCTTTTCGAGAAAAACAGTTAACAAGTGTTCCTGTGCGCTACAACCACGAGCAACGAGCAATTTAGTTGCATACATAACCTACCTTACTTTGCAGCAGTCCGAATCTCTAATTGACAGAGCAATCAAGTTAATTTTAGGACCGGAGCCTTTAAAGAAATTAAAAAAACATTGAAGAAAAAACCTTCGCAATCATTGGCAATTTTTTTTAGAAAACCATGTTTGAAAACATCTCATTAGCAGTAAGAACACGGAATGCTCAAATTTAAATGCCAATATCTAGTCAAATTACAACCAGGTTATTAAAATCATTTAATTTTTAATGAATAATTTTTTAAACTTATCTATGTACAGGTGTTTGCTGCCAAGTTGCAATGCAGACCAGACAAAATCGAAAGCACTTTACATTGTGTTGGTTCCATTATAAAATCTTCTAGAACACACCTCTATGGTTTGCCTTCAAATAAACCAAAAGTCATTAGTAAAAAACTTTATTTTTATTATATCTTAAATGGGAAATAAAAAAATTATTTTCCTATTTTTTAAAAACAATAGTTAGTTAGTCAAACCAAAATAAAACGTTTTAAACGACTATGATTGAAGACTCTGAAGTTCAAGAAATGATTGAGAAACTTGCAAGAGAAGTTTATAATGGTGAACTTGAAAAAAGTTGACTGTGAATTTCACTACAAACTCAGTTTTAATGGATGTTTTTTTCTACATGCAACAAAACAAGACTGGTAATATTCCAGTCTTGTTTTGTTGTGACTACTTAGTCAGCCAAATGGTTCCAATTCAAGTTTTTAAGAAATGCCACAACTCAAAAATTTCTTAAAGCAATATATTTCCTATCAGTACTAAATTTTGTAGGTTTCTTTGAATTTACATTGAAACAAAAATTCCAGATTTATTTTCACATGCTTGCAAGAAAAATTTTACTAACCTTTAAATTAAGAAATAGTGTTTATGAAGAAACCAAGAGTAAGAATTAATTTTTTGATAATGCACTAATAATGCACACTTTTGATAAGTGCAAATTGAATAGCTAAAACTAAATTAACTTTATTAAAAACAGTACTAATGGTGCCATGGATGGAATCCTTGTTTGTATTTTTGGTGTGTATTATCAAGGCCACATTTGGAGTTCTTTGATATGGCATAGGGTTAATTAATAGTAATGAGGCAACTGCATGGACTTAAAAAGTGATATTGAATAAAATACTTATCTGTACTTTTAGTCATATTCTTTAACAAATTTAAAAAATGACTAAAGTACCAAAAACTATATAAAAAAAAAAAAACCTTCACTAATATTCACTAATATTTGTGGTCTTCGAAGTAACTTTTCTACTGTTGAGTTGTATCTTTTGCAAAGTTCAGTAGACCTACTTGCTCTTTGTGAGACTAATTTTAGTTTGGCTGTCTCATCTTGTGGTCTTAGTGTTGATGGTTATCCTCCTTTAATTTGTAAAGACTCCAATAGTCACATGTTTGGTCCGAGTAATTAAATTCGTAAGAATTCACCCATTTGTCAGCAAACTAGGTCTAAATCTAGACTATTCTTTTATGAGTTTTGGTTTAGCACCACTTCACTCTATCGCCTTTTTCTTAGTTCTATATCGCTCTCCTTCATCTCAAGACTCTTTTCAATGTTATTTTTGATCAAATTGACTTTTCGCTTTATCCTTCAGCCAATATGATATTGTTGTTGGTGACTTTAATGCTCATCACACTGTATGGCTAGGCTCTAGTGTCAGTGACTCTGCAAGACTCACAACTTTTTTTCTTTCTGAATCTCTAACTCAAATAGTCAAATTTCCAACTCCAAGGCTTTCCAGACAATCTGAATCATTTAACTTCTTTACATGACTTATGTCTTGTTTTATTATCCTAGTCAGTGCTCAGTTTCTCCACATTCACCTATAAGGTATTTCTGATAACGGTTTGATCTCTCTAAAACTATTATCTCATTTTTCTTTATCATCAGAATCCCCTAATCATCGTACCTCTTACAACTACCTTAAAGCTGACTAGAATTCTTTCTGTGATTTTCTTAGTGATGACCCTTGAATAGAAATCTTTCATCTTCCTGCTGAAAAATGTGCTTCTTACATAAATGTTTGGATTCAGGCTGACATGGAATCCTTTATTTCCTCTCAACAAATCCAAGTCAAGCCTTACTCTTCATCTTCTAAGATTAACTCCGATCTTTCTTGGAAACTGTATATCAAATTGATTACAAAAATAGCTTCTGCTAAGGTTGCATTTCTTTATTATGCTCACCACTTTCTTACTCCGGATTCTATTCTTTATACGATGCCCTCTCTTTTAGACAAAGTGCAAAAACACATTGTAAACATAGATAGATATGCTCTTGCAGCCAACTTCCAAGCATTGTAACATCATCGTAATGTTGCTTTTTTTTTTCTTTTTATAAATACTATAATAGACACAGCTCTAAAGAGCTAGCATCTCTTGTACCATCTACTAAAATTTATTTTTGTGTTACTTGTCATTCAATTAAGTCTCATCCTTTTACTGTTACTGTTCTTAATTGCTCTAAAAATTTACCCAGTATTTTTCTTTAAACATCAGTTCATTGGAATTTGCTTACTTTATCTTATTTCCTAATTCATATAATTTGCAATATTTTAAGTCGTAACCATCAACCTAATGCTACTCTTTACTTTTATGTTGAATAGAAAAATTATATGTATTGCTAGAAATTTCTCTGCTGCTTTATGCCCAGTTTTCTATCAAATATCTCAGCAAATGACTAATTCACTTGATGATTCCACACGTAACTATGGTTTCTTGAAATATGGTGCGAGCATTCTACACATTAGAATTTAAGATTTGAGGCTTTTCTTGGCAACTAGTACAAAAAAGATATAAAGAGATTACTCTGCAAAGAAACTGAAGTAATTTACAATTTTCAAAATACCTTTAATTCTTATTAGCATATGAAGATACAAAATTAATTATCATAACAAATCAAATAAAAGTAAATAACTGAGATTTTTTTAAATAAAAACTACTAAATAAAATACCAAAAACTACCAAAAGCATCCACTAATAAATAATATATATTTATTCATTATTGAATAGCAATATCATTAATATCTATAAATGATATTGTTATTCATTATTGCTATATTATATATATATATAT